GGGCACTCTGGATAATGCTTCCTTTCCGGTCTTGATGTACAATAGCACCATTTATCTAAATAGAATAATGCACAGCACCTTGGATGAACAAAAGGCTGTAATTTACCCAAGGCCTCTGCTGACAGTCTGAAAGTAAAGGTGACAGAAAGTGTCAAGATTCAATTATTAACTTTAGTGAATCTCACAGATGTCAGACTTACTAGCAAACGGTGTATCTTTACATGTATGTAGGAGTCATACACACGGGCCTCAGGTCACCTCCCACACTACACCAAACCAGGATTTGCACTGTCAGGAAAGTCACACTACCCAGAATGAGCACTTTCTTAGATTCCATATCAGAGGCATCAAAAGACCCATACAAGATTTCTGAAACTAAGAAACAAAAAGACTCAAGCAACTTTCGTAAGCCCACATTTAGATAGTATACTATCCTGCTTTACGTGTAGAACACATCAACCATGTAAGTTTCACTACAATTCAAACCACATCAAGGGGACAGTTAAGTTTATAGTAACAGAAGGAAGAAACTATCCACAGAGTTCAAGCAAAAGAGAATACACTAAGGCAGGCAGAAACTAAAAATAGGGGTATCTCAATAAGGAGACTGAAAAGAATATGGAGAAAATCCATTTTGATTTGGGTCCTGTGATGAAAAAGCATTCCATTTTTAAAATCTGAAGCTCTGCCTAAATCAATGATTTTCAAAGGTGCCTGTCTCCAAAATAAATAAGAATCAACTAGGAGGCATGGAGTACGTGTGTGTTTTCTTTACATCACAGCAATATCCCCACTCACTCTTTTTTTGGTTTAAAAATCACAGCTCTTATGAGTCACTATTATTGATGGAAGAAGGCTGGGGTCTTCAGGTATGTTGTGGCAAATAATGATGATAAAGCAAATAAATAAATAGATAAGTACTTCCTTAATGACAATTCTAGAAAAAGCCTCCATTTACTAAATCTCAAAATTTTACAAGTACAACAATGAAAGAAGGTAAACAAGATCTAATGGAAGGATCACCAGAATATGAAGAGAAGAAAAATTATACTCTAGTGAATTTGCAAGTTTTAAGACAAAAGTACAGAGGGGCACCGGGGTGGCTCAGTTGGTTAAGCGTCCAACTCTTGATTTTGATTTTGGCTCAGGTCATGATCTCACGACTGTGAGATTGAGCCCCACATTGGGCTCTGCACTGAGCACTAAGCCTGCTTAGGATTCTCTCTCTCCCTCTGCCTCTGCCCCTCTTCCCCACCCTGTGTGCACACTCTCTCTCTTTAAAAAAAAAAAAAAAAGAAGAAGAAGAAGAAGAGAAAAACAGGTGACAATCTAAAATACAAAAACAATTTTCAGTCTCCAATTATACAAAGTGAGCAAAGGTAAAAAGAACCCCGGGACTGAGCAACGACATCTAAATTGGTTAAATTCAACTTCTGGCCAATTTCTGGTAGGCTGGACTACCTAACTGCAAAATACAGTAAAAATGTCCTGGGGAGAAGGGGAAGGAACAGAGGTAAAGTCAGAGAGGTCTGTTTTTGTAGGCAGTAGTGAAGAGGCTTACCAGAGTATAATTCTTCAGTAGAAATCATTGTCTTGACTTAGAGATCAATTTTTAACATGTCTACCTAACTCCATTTGGAACTTCCTTCGGTTCTGAACCTTGGATGCAAAATTAAAGTAACCTGGGTATCTTTCTAAAATATCAATGTCTAGGTCCTGTCTCCCAGAAATTCTGTTTAAATGCTCTAGGATTGGGCCCAAACACTGACAGTTTTTCGTTGTTTGTTTGTTTTTAAGATTTATTTGAGAGAGAGAGAGAGTGTGTGAGTACATGAGCGGGGATAGGGGCAGGGGGAGAGGGAGAGAATCTCAAGCCAACTCCCCACTGAGTGCAGAGCCCAGATGGGGGGCCCACCTCATGACCCTGTGATCTCGACCGGAGCCGAAACCAAGAGTCAGACGCTTCACCAACTGAGCCACCCAGGTGCCCTGATAGTTTTTTTTGTTTTGTTTTTTTAAATATGGTACTAATGTGGAACTAACTATGCAGCTGGAATTGAGAACCCCAAAAGCTTAAATAAAAGGAGCTGCCATATTTCATTAGCGGCACACCACTGACCCCTATGGGTAGGGTTCCCTTAGACAGCAATAATAAAAGCAGCAGAAACCATATGTAGGCCTTGCTGTCCACCCTTCTGAAGTGAACACTAAGGTAACCTTGAGTGCTCCTTGCCAGGTGAACACATAACTCTAAACCAGGCCAAATTTTACATGGTCTGGGTGAAAAGCTACCACTCCCAGCAACACTATTCTTCCTAGAGAGTAAAAGAAGGACCTTTCCTTCTTTTATTATTATCCAAAAAATAATTTCAGGAGTTTCTTGGCTTTCCCTCAATTTGGGGTAGAGGAGGAGCCCTCTTTCCAGGAGTGTGTTTACTGCTGAAGTCAAGACAAAAAGGCATCCGAGTTTACCAACAGCTATGATTCAAGCACCAAACTGAAGTGGTTCACAGTGGTCCCAGAAATTCTATGGTTTTATGCAAAATATGGCCCATGAAGCCGGGAGCTTGTTAGAAATGCAGACTCCTTGGTTTCATCTCAGACCAACTAAATCAGAATCTGCCTTATACAAGATCTCTAGGAGATAGATAGGATTTATATAGATTTACATTATAGTTTGAGAAGCACTGCTGTAAGGAAAAGATTCAAGAAACAGCACTATCTATATAGATTAAGTAAAAACTCTGAGGACTATTTCCCTCTTTAAATTAGATAATTTACAAAACAACAATAAAAGCATTTTAAAATGGCACAGTCTAGAGCTGCCTTGGAAACTCACCTTCCACACAGCCAGATTTAGGCCTTCCTTGTGATGTTCTCTTAAAAGGGTATCTTAGTTCTCTGAGTGAATATATACTTAACCCCATATAGATCCAAAGCAAAAAGGGCTTTTACTCATTTTGATTTCTGAGATATATTTATATCACAGAATAAGCTGAAACCTGCATGATTTCTAGGGCTATGACACCAAGTATACCATTTTGAATCCTGAAGTCAGGAAGAGGTAAAATACAGAGTTACACAGGAACATTGCTGGGCCTCCATAGCAAAGCCTGTATAATATTTACAAATTCAAATGGGAAAACAACGTACTCCCCACCCCAAAAAGAGCATCCTTTACAAAAAAAAGAAAGAAAAAGGCCCACGTGTAACTCTGGCTACTACAACCTAAAAATGTAACATTTTTTTTCCTACTTGAAGTAATACTTGTGTGAATTTTAACAGATGAATGGATAGCTAAACAAAATATAAGGAGAAAACTCATGGGCATTAAGGGCCAGCAACAGCTAATACAAAGCCACACAGAAATACCATGTCCCTTTCCTTCCATGCTAAGTGGATCAAGAAGCAAGAGCACAAAATCCCAGGCCAGACAACATTAAAATATAGGGCCTCTTTCTTCCCTCCATCCTTCAAGCTTAATTTCTTTGTCATTCTTAGGTTCAATGAGTCCATCATTTTGTCAGCCACCAGGTAAATTAACGAATAGGGTTGTTAAGGCATAAACTTGAGTTGAGGAGGATATAACACTTAACTTGTGGGTGATGTGTCAACAAGAACAGGAAGAACGATTTCAAAGGCTATGTGGAGTTTCTGCGAGAATCTGTTAATATGTCACTATTACTGAAAGACTCCACAGACCCTTCTGAGTCTACAGGGAGGCTACGTAGCCATGCAGAATGATCATATGAAGAAACTATTCTTATATAATCGGTCAAATCCACTCATTAAAGATATGAATATGAAAATCAAATGCTTACATTCCCAAGAAAGATAATAAGGAGTGCTACTTGCACTATGAGCTGGTGTCTAGAGCTTGGTCAGTGTACAGACTCTGAAAGCAGTGACTTTCCATGAGTAAAATGCACAACCCACAGAGATATGACTGTAACCCTATTTTCTTAGACCCTCTGCCAGCCAAGGATTAAATGTACCTGTACTGGCTGGCATAAATCCCAGACATAATGCTGCTCATAAGGTAGAAGAGAAAATGCTGGTGTGTGTAGCAGAAAGTGAAGCTGTTTAGTTTATGTAATCTCTGAGAACATATATTTTTGTATCTATGGCATGTCTTCCGATTTCTGATGTTGGGAAGTAAGTTTGTTGGGCATCTTCGCAGACAAACATGTACAAGTGTCTAGCTAAAAGAGCCCCTCTAATTCCACCACAACTAAAAACCTGGTTTGTAGAGAGCCATGTGATGTGACACACACACATATATATATAACTTACATATAAGTTACTTTTCTGGTCTTCTCTACACAGATGGAAGGTCATCCTTAATATTTCTCATTTATCTTGTACCTCAACAAAGGTACACTGGTGGCACATATTCACAGATACTCTGGACTTTGGAGCCTTTTATTATTAGAATCCTGGAAGCTAATTAAATTGGAAGTATGGGTGGGAGGAAGAAGGGAGGCAAAAAGAACCAATCAAGCAGTACTCCCCAACTGTAATAAAGGTACATTTTTTACACAAATGGCTCAAATGGCTGCCTCAAAACCTCTCAGAATTGGGGCATAAACCAATAAAATATTAAAAAGGCAAAGGTTTGAAAGCCTCAAAATAGGATGATCTCTATGAGGTCATTTAAATGCTGTTCAGGAAAAAAGGAATTACAGGGGCTATCCAGAGTTAAGAAGCACGAGTACTAAGCTCTGGAAAGGATGCCAAATATTAAGATTGCTGAACAATAGGTTGGCTAAATATCAAAAGTTCTGTTTAGAGGCAGGACAACAAAAATCCCGCACAGTTGTAAACATGCCCCATAACAATTAATTGACAATATCAATTAATTCTATGAAGACAAAAAATCCTGTCCTTTATCAAAGGACATTGCTCTGCTCATCAAGGAAAGGCCTAGTTCTAAAAAGCTGAATAATCTAAAGCTCTTTAGCATATCAAAAATTTCAAATAACCAGAAGAAAGATACTTACCAGACTATCTAGTCCTCCTCCCAAGAGATCCACTGCTCCCATCTGCATGGAGGACACCTGTGGCACATTGACTGGGGGACCGAGGTCAAGGTTTAAGAGGTCTCCTAGAAGGTCACCTTGGGAGGGGATAACCTGAGGCTGTTCCAGGGTCGTGGCTGTGGTGGTGCCAACAGGGCTGTCACCTGCATCAGTGCTGCAGTCACACGCACGCACGCACAGGGGAAAAGAGAAAAGTCAGTTTCACCCAGGACGTAATAACAAGGCACAAGTGAATGTCAGATCTATAAAACACAGGAGGAGGAAAAAAACAAAAAACAAAAATATAAAACTTATTTTTTTTTGCAGTATTATTTTTTTTAAGATTTTATTTTTATATAATCTCTACACCCACTGTGGGGCTCGAACTCACAACACCGAGATCAAGAGTTGCACGCTCTACTGACTGAGCCAGCCAGGTGCCCCCAAAATCAGCAATTCTTATTTTTATCAAAATATAGTTGCTAAGCTCTTTCTTGACTCCATCTTCGCGGTAGTGGCTGCGGTGCCCGCAGCTCAGTCGCCAACATACAGCTCTTTGTCCGTGCCCAGGAGCTACACACCCTCGAGGTGACCGGCCAGGAGATGGTCACCCAGATCAAGGCTCATGTAGCCTCCCTGGAGGGCATCGCTCCAGTAGATCAAGTCGTGCTCCTGGCAGGCACGCCCCTGAAGGATGAGGCTACCCTAGGTCAGTGTGGAGTGGAGGCTCTGACCACCCTGGAAGTAGCCGGCCGCATGCTTGGAGGTAAGATCCATGGTTCTCTGGCCCGTGCTGGAAAAGTGAGAGGGCAGACTCCCAAGGTGGCCAAACAGGAGAAAAAGAAGAAGACAGGCCGAGCCAAGTGGCGGATGCAGTACAACGGGCGCTTTGTCAACGTTGTGCCCACTTTTGGCAAGAAGGGCCCCAATGCCAACTCTTAAGTAAACTGTAATCCTGACTCTCCCCAATAAAGCCATTTAGTTCAGTAAAAAAATAAATATATATATAGTTGCTAAAATGAAAATAAATGTATACTATATAACCTTAGCAGTCAAGCAATTTTAACTGAGCACCTACACTATAATGGAGCATGATAATGAGAACCTTCGAGCCATATTTTTTAAAAAGGAAAGCTATTTCCTGTCCTCAAATAACTTAAACAACAACAAAAAGCTGCATTTACAAAATGACTGCAAAGCACATTCACTGTGTAATAGCAGAAATGAGTACTGTATGAGCATCTGCACAATGACAGGATACAGCTAAGAAACAAAACAAGCCAGGTAGGGCTGATTCTAAAAGCTTCTGAGAATGGTTTTATGACTAGATTTTGAAGAACAGCACAGCTGTGAGGAACTACCAGGGAGAGACTTATCTTAAAGGAATGGATGGTTTGTGCAAAGGCACAGAAATGAACAATCTGACATTAGGGGTGGTAAAAAAATTTTATTGGCAGGAGCAGAAACTGGGATTAAGATTTTGGGAAAGAGAAGATGAGGGAGATAAAACTGAAAACTAGCCTGGGAAGTTAATTTTTTTGATAGGCAATGCAGAATCACTTTGATTTGTTGAACGAAGAACTAAAAGTAACATTACAGAAACATTACTCTAGCATCTGTGTGTCAAATGGATTGAAGTTGGAAGAATCAGTGTGAGATCAGCAAACACTAATCTAAACAGCTACTGCCACCATACATAAAAATAAAGTGGTGAGTTCCATGAGATAATAGATGTTGCTGGGTCAACTGGATAGCTGTGTGAGGGAAAAAATGAGCCTTGACTCTTGTACCTCACAAAATAAAAATTAAAGAGACAAAGCCAACATAAATGTGAAGGGGAAAATCTAGGAGAGTCCCTTGATGGCCTTGGAGTAGACAAAAGTTTCTACAGAAAACACTAAGTATAAAAGAAAAAAAATGATGATCTGGACTTCACTAAAACTGAGAGCATCTCTTCTTCTAATAACACCATCTAGAGAGAACAAGAGAAAGTATGTTCCACAGACTACAAAAAAAGATGCTCACAACACATGTATCTGACAAGACATGTACCGAAATCACATAAAAGATTCCTATAAATCATTCAATTATTATATAAAGAATTCCCAAAATTGACAAGAGAACTCATTAAAAAAATAAGGAGAAGATCAGGCATATCACAAAGGAGGATCTACTAGCAGTCTGTACACATGAAGAGGGACTTAAGCCATCTCTACTCAACAGGAAAATGCAAATGAAAACTGAAGCAAGATCCCATCACATATGTGCCAGAATGGCAAAAATTAACATGACTGACAACCCCAAGTGCTCGTCAGGATGTGGATCACCTAGAACTCATACACAGCTGGAAATGTACACTGGTACGATCTCTTGGGAAAACTGGCAGTGTCTCCGATAGCTAAATATACATCTATTCTATGACCCGGCAATTCCATTCCTAGTTGTATACACAAGAGAAGTAAGTATATAAGTCTACTAAGACGTACACAAAAATATTCATAGCAGCTTTATCCGTAAGAGCCCCAAACTGAAAAAAATCCAAAGGTACATCAACAGAAGATATAAGTAAATTGTGGTATATTGGGGCCATGGAATACTATATACCAATAAATAGAAACATATAATTGATTTATATTGTGTTCAAGAATAAGCAAAACTGTAGTGATAGAAGTCAAAACAATGGTTATCTTTGGAGAGTGGGTATTAACAGAAAAGGGGCATGAAGAATCTTCTAGGGTGCTGGAAATATCTGATCAGGGTGGTGGTTATGATTGTACACATATGTAAAAATCGTGAGCTATATACACTAAAGGTTAGTGCACTATTAAGATTATTATAAATGATATATCAATTTAAAAACTGGGGGAGGAGGGAAGAGGGGAAAATCCCACAAAGAAAATCCCAGGCTCAGATGGCTTCACTGTGAATTCTTCCAAACATTTAAGAACAAAGTAAAACCAATCTCAGATAAATTTTAAAAGAGAACAGAGAATGACAATTAAGAAAATCTGAAAGTAGTTAAGACTGCTTATGCAATATTAAATAATTATTTCTAATTTTCTTAGGCTGGGTAATTTACTGTGATTTAAAAAAAAAAGTCCTTGTCTATTAGAGATACCAAGTAAAGGTGAAACAATAGGAAGTCTGAGATTTGACTTAAAATACTCCACCTCCCTCAAAAAATAAAAAATTGTGGAGGTGATACATGAAACAAGCTGGGCAAAATAGTGAGAACTGTTGAAGCTGAGTGATGAGTACATAGGAGTTTGTTATCCCACTCTATCTTGCACGTTTTCTAAGATTTATATAATACAAAGAAAAAAATGATGTAAAAATTCCATTAACAATATTTTCTTGAACATGTAAGAGAGAAGAATGAATAATCAAAGTCAAAGAATAAACAAAAACTAAGAAGCAAAAGACTGGTGATGCTCCTCATAATGACAGAGGAACCTGAAGGTGGTCTAGAGTAAGAAGACAAAGATCAAGTGTTGGCCCCAAATATTACCAGCTGTGTGATCTTGGGCAAGTGACAACTTTTCTGAGATAAAGATTCCTCATCAATAAAATAACCATGTCACAGGGATCTATTTTAGACAGGATGAAATGAAAACATGATATAAAATGTAAAGCCTTGTAAGAGATCAGTGGCTGGGGCACGTGGGCGGCTCAGTCGTTAAGCGTCTGCCTTCGGCTCAGGTCATGATCCCAGGGTCCTGGGATCGAGTCCCGCATCGGGCTCCCGGCTCAGTGGGAAGCCTGCTTCTCCCT